AAATCTATATCTTGAAAAGAATTACTTTCTAAGTAGTAATGGAAAAACAAGTTACATTCTTTCATTTATTTTTCTCAATTTTTAACTCAATCTCTATGTAGGATTCAGAAAATTCTGTTATATTCAGGTATAATTATTGGTGTGGAAAGTCAAGTGGTGTTATTTCATTTTGAAAAAACACATTGCAATAGTTTTCTCTCTCCCCCACCTCTCCCATCTTTGAGATGAACGATGCTTTTAAATTAAAGGCAATGGCAGAGCCAGGATATAGTGGTACATGCCTGCAATCCTAGCACTTGGGAAGAGTGTAAGGCCAGACTGGGCTACATAGTAAAAGCCTGTCTTAAAAAACCAACCTCCCGCCCTCCCCGCGCACCTAATGCTAATATCTAGTTATTCTATTTAGGTGCATTTAATAAATTCTCTTTATTTTTTAGTTTTTTGGACTCAGCACACTCTACCACTTGATCCATGCCCCCAGCCCTAAATTCTCTTTATTTAAAAACATTTAATCAATTTAAAACATATACTACATTCAATGTTTTTTCTATTTAGCTTTCTATTATTTTTTAATTGTTTATTCATTTATTCATATGTGTATACATTGTTTGGGCCATCTCTTCCCCCTGAATTTTTATCCTTTGATACATTATTTTAGGCAAATATGCAAGATGCATTAAACCAGTTGTGTCATAAGTAGGTTTCATCTAATTATTTAACTCATGAGGGTTATTAGGTTTATATCCCAATTTTACTGAGCCTTATAAGTTTTTCTTTACTTTCTTATAGGCCAAGAAATATTCTACAAAACCTAGACAAAATATTTTAATTATTTTCCCTGTCAAGACATCAGGAACATTGAATATGAAGACATTTCTGCGTTTCTCAAAACTCCTTTTGTAAGATGAGAGAGCAGTTTGACTTTGGTAGAAAGTAAAGTTACTGCTACATGGAACTGCATAGTAACATTTTACTCTTTTCAAAGAATCTTATTCATTAATTCAAAAAATGTTTAGAGATTACAAGATAAGCATATTCAACTTGCAAAACTCAAACCTATTTAAATAGCCAAAAAATGTATTACTAGCTTGGCACAATTGGATTTAATAATTAGTTGAGTCTATCATTTTAAGAATACAACACTTTTTATGAGAATATAACACTTTCCCCTTTTAAAAGTGGGAACACATGTGTTGTGTAGAATGAAACATACAGGATTTCATTTCTGCCACATGTGACATTTTGATAAAATAAACTGCTGATCCCCCTCCCCAGAATTCCTTTGGGGAATGTCACAGGTGAATTGATCCATCCTCTGTCTACTAAAGGCCAAAAGTGGCCAATGCTGGTACACACAGCTGCTGGGGAGCCAGGCTAGTGGTGGATGTTTTCCGGGTTCTCAACCCACATTGTCACAGCATCTTGAAGGGCAGTGTTGTTAGAGCTGTGAAGAAGTCTCCTGAAACCAAAATGTGTTAAACATCCCAATGTGCAATTTAAGCTGCACATGTCTTCCCTAGAGTAGAAATACTAGGATAACACATTTCTTATTGGAGTCATATTTCAAAAGATTTTGAGATTTAAGATTCAGAAACCTTTATGTTAAGAAGTCATGGTCTGTTTGTGACAACTTTTGTTTGGTTTTTCCCTCCCATCTGATTAGATCTTGTCCTGCAGGTGCTTTGTGAGCTCAGTGTAGGACATGTTCCTTACTAAGCCGGAGCATCACCTGTAGTATATACAAGTTTGAAGCCACAGGTGGTATTCACATTAGTGTGGCCTGAGAGAAATCATTACTGACATTAATTCTGGTGCCCTTTATGGTATCTCCAGATGTTTTAAGTCGTATTGTAAAAGTTGAAATACAAAACTGAATTTACTCACTGAAAACGGATACATAATACAGCTCATTTATGTGGTAAGAATGTTTTGGTGTAATAAAGTAAGGTAGGAAGTAAGTGAGTGGAGGATAATGAAACAGATTTGGATGAGAAGAGGGAGCCATTGGGATGGGATGTTAAACGTCAGGGTCTTGTCATTGATTATAAATTCTTGGCTTCAGTTTTCATTGCATTCACTTGGCCAAGGCTTTCTGGCTTGTCTTTCATTAGCAGCTTGTGAAAGTTAAATCAGCTGACAGTGTCAATGCCCTATGCTTTCTGAGGGGTTCCAGGTTTGCAAGGCAGTTAGCGAGGATGCCTGTATGTGAAAGTTGTACCCTAAATTATTAGTGCTTGTGGCAAAGAATAAAAATTACCTCAGAGGAACTTGTTTCTTTTTCATTGTTTTTACTCAGATGGCAATGATGCAATTTATACTCCTTTTTTAGAAGAAAATTTAGAGGAAGTCTGCAAAGGATGGCATTCTGAGGTATCTGCTCTGGCAGAGGACATTGAATGCTCTTGGTGCATGCAGCTAGCCTGGGCCACCCAGTTGGTTCCCCTGCATGTGGGCATGTACCAGACACAGCCTTTTCACTTTTCTTTTTTCCCTGTACTGGGATTAAACATAGGGCCTCACACATGCAACACAAGTGCTTTATTACTTGAGCCATACCCTCAGTCCATTTGTTTGTATTGTTTTTGAGATGGGGTCTTGTGATCCTCCTGCCTCCCTAGTAGCTAGAATTATAGATATGGATCACCACACCCAATACTGTCATCCTTTTTCTGATCCCTGTAGTTGAACTTTAAGAGGAGCTATACAGCCACTGCTCTGTACCCCAGGCATTCATCTCCATGGGAACAGGCACAAAGGGTGTGGGAAATAGCAAAATCTCATTGTAGTGAGCTTACTTTCTTTTGCCTTCTCTGCTAATATTTGATTTTGACTTTTAGGGAGGGGAGATTTGAAGTGCTTCCATATTCATTTTTTTTTTAATTTGTGTTTGTTGTGAGTAAAGGAATCAGGAGATTCCTTTAAAATGAGGAAGTTGAGAGGCAAAAAGAATTTGAATGGTCTTACCCAAGAACCACCTCGTGGACTGTTGATAATGTGAGCTGCTGTGAGGTCTTCATGGGATGTTGATACCAAAGCCACTGTTGCCATGGATGGACTTGACCTCAGAGAAGTTGTGATGGTTCAGCATTTCATCTCCTGGAACTAGATTATCCTCTGCTTGCTGATTTGGGATTCTTGACTTTATAACCTGCTAAAGATACTACATTACACTTCACAAAGAGATTGGAACTTTTGGCATTTCCTCTTTTTATCTAGGATGAAATTGAAACTCAAAGGAAGAAGCAAATGCAAAGAATCCAGGACTCACTGCTGAAAACAGCCTCTTGGACCATTGTAATCCCAAATTTTAGCAAGTAATAACTTAGCCTTTTATAAGAAGATCACAGTTGATTTCTTCTCTCTTGTGAAACATATTATGTGCATAGTTTTGAGAGCAAAATAAAAGAGCTTGATTCTAGAGAGGATTTTATGCTCTAGTTTTGCTTCTAGTTTTTCAACAGATTATTAATCTAAGAACTTTCAAAAAGGTCCAATTATGTGCAAGACTATAGGGCAGTCATCCTCTGTGCTGTTTCAGTATTAAAATTAGTAATTTGATAGCCTACAACCCATTAGTGTGCTGCATAGATTTTATCTTTCCTTCATTGTCTTTTCACCAGTAATTTTAGTTAGAAAAAACAATGTGGAATGACTGGGATGGCCAGAAAAAAATAGAATATTCCCAGTTAAATTTGACTTTTGCATACCACTTACATTAAAAAGTTATTCATTGTTTACCTGAAACTCAGTTTTCGCTGGATGTTCTTTTTTGTTTGCTAAATCTAGCAACACTTAGAGTGACTCTTCTGTCAGACACATTCATTATCCATTCTTTTTAGTGCATTGCTTTTGATTTATAAAACATGACCCATATATGTTGGGATTCAGTTAGATGTTTTTAAAGGATGTATTCTCAAGAATCTTTGCTTTCTGAATCCTTTGACATACTATTTTTTACCTCACTGTTGTGGTGTGCTGTTGTTTGTGATCCTTTGTAAAGGTTTAAATTAGGGAATGTGTTATTGGGAAAGATGTTATTCTCTCTATGCCTTCTCTACTTGATTTTGATTTTGACTTTCAAAATCAGAGAGACTGATGCACTGCTTTCTTTGTGACAGGAATTAATATTCTGAGATAGTTGATTTTCTTGTAAGCCATAGTTATGGGAATGGGAGAGCTGAGTTTGATTCCTGGTTTTGTCATGGACGAATAAAATGGGTTTGCTTCAGACATTTAAGTTAGCGTCATAATTTAGAAGTCGGTTTGTTAATGACTGCCTCACCAGGATTAAGTAAAATGTTCTCCCTCTAATATCAGTAACTGGGTAAAGTTACAAAATCACCTAGCTTCAAGGAAGAGAAGGGAAAATACAAATCCAATCCTTAAGCCATAGAAGTGATTTGTTTGGCCAGAGCTACCAGCAGGCCACTATCGCCTATAATCTCAGCACTCAGGAGATCAAGGCAGGAGGGTTGAAAGTTCTAAGCCAGCCTGGTATACATACTGAGACTCTATCTGAAAAAAACTAAAACCGTCAAGCAAAAATTCCATCCAGGTTTCTTGACTCCCATCTGTTCCTTTATACCCTTACATCAGACATGTTCACATGAACCCAGGGCCTTGCACATGGTCAGCACACCCTATACCACTTGGTACCTATAACCATTGTTTTTCTCACTGTATAAATGCACCATGATGTATCTGTCAGCATCTTTTAGTGGTATTATATTGCTGCTTAGCTTTGCTGTAGAAACAGTACTGTGGTGAGTGCTCTTGTGTTTCCTTTGCCACATGGAAAAGGAACTTTAAACAAAGGCTAGATGCATTTTAAAATTTGTTGGATAAACAAATTGCCATCTACCGAGATGATAATGTTATTTTTCTACAGCTCCTAAGTATGGAGAGTGACTATACCCCTGCACTAGAAGGATTTTGGGCAGCTTTCAGGGTAGACTCTTCCTCCTCAAGTAACTTATGTGTCTGCATGTTCTGTTCTGCAGAGAAATGGTCAATGCATGGTTTGCTGAGAGAGTTCACTCCATCCCTGTGTGCAAGGAAGGCGTTCGAAGCCACACCGAGTCTTGTCCTTGCCCTTTGCCCCAGAGTCCTCGTGCAGAGAGCAGTGCCCCTGGCACACCAACCAGGAAAATTTCTGCCTCAGAGTTTGACCGGCCCCTCAGACCCATTGTGGTCAAGGATTCTGAGGGAACTGTGAGCTTCCTTTTGGACTCAGAAAAGAAGGAGCAGATGCCTCTAACCCCCACAAGGTTTGATAGTAATGAAGGGGACCAGTGCTCAAGACTCTTGGAATTAGTGAAAGACATTTCTAGTCATTTGGATGTCACAGCCTTGTGTCACAAAATTTTCTTGCATATCCACGGACTTATCTCTGCTGACCGCTATTCCCTGTTCCTTGTCTGTGAGGACAGCTCTAATGACAAGTTTCTGATCAGCCGCCTCTTTGATGTTGCTGAAGGTTCAACACTAGAAGAAGCTTCCAACAACTGTATACGCCTAGAGTGGAACAAAGGCATTGTGGGGCATGTGGCAGCACTGGGTGAGCCCCTGAACATCAAAGATGCGTATGAGGTAAGTAGGGGACAAAGGTAGCAGAGGCAGGCAGAGTTGAGGGTGATATGGCTAGGGCATTGGACGGCAATTGTGGATAACGTGGATTTTGGATTTTAAAACTGAGGTGTAATAATTCATACTTATTTAAATGTACAGTTAGAATTCCTACCTTTCAAATGCCGTGCTCCTTCCCTGGTGGTTTGGTCGAGGATATAAACCTATGGGAAATCGTACCTTGTTCTTTCCTTAATGGCAATGTGAAGATAATTCATCTCGTAGAGTATTCTGTCATCTTTTTATCTGATGACTATACATTTCCATATCTGTGCTATTTCTACATGACCTTCTGCAAATTTTATGGAGCTGTCCTCACAGCCAAGGATTAGAGAAACGGGATGTGACATCACGTCAGGGTGATGGAGAAAGGTTTTGTTGAGGAAGCAATGTTTGTTGAGAAGGTAGTTTTTGAAGAATATGTAAAATTTGAATGAAAAAGACGTGTGCCTGGCGAGATCCACATATAAAGGGAAGTTTGAAGAAGAGTCGAGAAGGTTGAACTGTGGAAATGTGTACATCAGAATCAGAATAGACACTGAAGGGCTGTGGGTGCCCAGCTAGCAAATTACTCGGGTCTTGAGTGCCAAGCCAGGAAATATATATTTGATTGAGAGCCAGGAGGAGTAACTGAAGAAGTTTTGAAGAGTTACTAGTATGATTTAAACTGTGCTTTAGAAAGGTACATTTTCATCTTTCTCAGTGATAAAATGAATTATAAGGAAAAACACTAGATGCTGGGAGGATAAAATGTTATTTTAATAGTCCAAGTATGAGAAGCGAGGGCCTGACCTGGACTGGCCTGAAAGATCAAAAAGAAGGAGTGGATTTCAGATGAAGAAGTCAAGTCCACAGATCATGACAGGTAATAGGAGATGGAAGTAAGGTGAAAAGAGGAGGATGACTCAGGTGTGAAGTGGGTGAATGAAGAATGATCCTGGTGAGGAACACTGAGAGGCAGGGATGTGAGCTAGAATAGCTTAGGTAGGTTAACTCCTGAGACACATTTTATGAATGCACTCTGTGTAAGTAGTTTTTTGATTCTGATTCTCTGAAAAATTCACAGGTCTTCATGGAGCGATCTCCTGACCCCTTTGAGTGCTGTAGTGATGTTGCACTGTAGCAGACTCAAGAGGGGGATTAAGGACACAGCTGAAGGATTGCTGCCAAGTTTGCAGAATTCCCTTCCTGTCTTAGGTGACAGCTGGGTTTCCACTTTTCAATGGCACCATAGTCCCAATTGCAGTAGGACTATAAATATTCTTCATCTTTGCTGAGAAAGCCTTCATTTATCTGCGTGGTCCTACGTGCCTCCAGCCCTGACCAGTCTTCATGCACATGCATTTTATTAAACCTTCTTACTGTCTTTAAAGTTTTGACAGTGTATTTTTTTGTTTTGCAGTTGACAATGGTTTCATTCTTGTACTGCTGTCTAGAGCAGTTAGTGTCCTTGATTTGCACTGCTCCCAGGGTGAAGCCTCTTTGCCTGTCGATTCCGCTTATGGCTGCTTCACCCTTGCACTCTTGCTCTGTGTTTATAGTGGCCACACAGAAGTTATTTTCACATCCAAGAATTTCATCCTGAATTGTGGAGTTGATCTTAGTTCTAATTTATGTTGTGATCTAATTTACATTGGTATTAGCAGTGGAAGTCAGTTGGCTAATGGATTATTCATCACTCAGCCTTACACATCATTTGAATAATCTAAATAGTGTCTCATACATAGCCTTTGGTGAAAGTCTTCAGAATGTGAAATACATCCTAATGTTTTCTAAGCCCTGCCTCTTTAACAATACATCTGGAAAAGTGACATTCTATATCAGTATTTGGCCACAGCACACTGTTAAAGGTTATAATGGTAAAAAACCAAGAGGTGGCCATGAAATATAACATTCAAATTAAAGCTGAGAATTAAAAACATAGCTTCACGGATAAATTAGTTGTAAGACATTATCAGTATTTGATTCAGTTTTTAAAACTTTATAACAAAATGATATATAATGACACATTTGAAAATACAGTTATCTTATTACTGATAAAATATCACATTTGCCTATTTAAAGTGTAAGATAAGAACCTCAGCTTCGATCAGTGATTCTAAAGATCACGAACACTATCCATCCATATGCTTAGTTAGTAAGTGCTATGGGTACACTGATTGATGTTTCTTCTTTTCATCTCCTGAATCAGCCAATCAGTCCTTCTTTCTTCTTTCTGTCTCTTTCTTCCTTTCCCCTCTCTCTCTCTCTCTCTCTCTCTCTCTCTCTCTCTCTCTCTCTCTCTCAAGTTTTGACTTTACTCTCGGTCTCTCTTTCCTCTGTTCCTCCCTTCTTCCTTTGGTGGTACTAGGGTTTGAACTCAGGGCCTTGTGCTTGCAAGATAGGAACTCTACCACTTGAGCCACCCCACCTCTGAAGCCTTTTTACCTTTGCTGCTCTTCAGATAGGGTCTTGATGTTTTTGCCCAGGGCTGACCTTGGACTGTGATTCTCCTACTTACACCTCCTGCATAGTAGCTAGGATTACAGATGTGCACCACTAGGCCTGGCCTTCATGCAACTTCTTGAATGTGCAGGGCACTTATTAATAATAAGATATCAGAACATGAATTAATAAGAAGATAAAATATTAACATGCATGAGATGACTTTAACTTAATAAGAAGATATATTGTCATAATAGTAAGACACATCATGTGTTTTGGTGTCTCTCGTCTAAATGAAAAACTATATATCAGTCAATACCTACATGAGATGGACTTGAACTTTTGTTCCATATGCTAACAAAGTTTTAAACCTCTCCAAGATTTTCTATGTTGTAAGGACTTAATTTATTAAAACACACCCACCTTGCCCAAATTAACTGGAATGTGAAACTCGGATTCCTGTTTCTGCAGGGTAGTCACTTCCTGTGTACATGATTTCTAGAGAGAGAACATAGATGGTGTTAGGGAAGTCACACCACAGCTTCCATCACCGTGTGGTTACTATTCCTTCTGCTCCACTTCTTCCCTCTCATTCTCTTTCCAGAGAAACAAATCCACACCTCCTCTCACCTGCAGGTCTCACTTTCTACCTCAAATATTTGTCAAGACACTTTCCTAAAGGAATATGAACTCTCTCAAATGAACTTCTGAATTTTGATGAATAAAATTTTTTGCAAATTAAATTTTAATAAAACAACACTAGCAATCGCTTTGTTTTAGATAAATCTACTAATCTCTCATGTGGTAATTATGCCCTAGGGAACAGTTTGTGAACATCTGTATTTGTGCTGGTTAAGCTTTCTCATTACTTTGGGGTGTTACCTCTTTCTGGGGAGGGGCCAGTACTTGGATTTGAACTCATGGCCTCCTGTTTTCTTGGCAGGCACTGAACCACTTTAGCCATACCCCCTCCTTCTTTTAGGCCTTATCTTAAAAATGCCATTCTGTGGGAGAAAATGAGCCTTACTCGACAAGGCCTCTGTGCTCTTTCGTTTTTAGTTTTCTGTCATTGTTATTTTGATATAATTTAAAGTCCACAGAAAACTTGCAAGATGAGTATAAGGAACTTCCATATACCCCTTCTCTGTATTCTCTGCTTGTTTATCTTGTGCCCCATCTTTTTATTATTTCCTACCTGTCTCTCCTCTCCCTCCTCCTCTGCCTCTTTCTCTCCCCCTTCCTCTCCCCACCACTGTCTCCCTTTCTTTTCCTGTCTATCTCATGTATATAAGTAATAAATGTTTACTATTTTTTTAACGGTTTAATAGGTTGGAGACATTTTTACTAAATGGTTCATTATCTTTCTTGATTTAGATATTTTTGAAGAGTACAGGCCAGTTATTTTGTAGAATGCCCTTCCCGAATTGATTCTAAACAGGCCCTTTTGACAAGAATACCATAGATGTTCATGTTGAGACCTTGTTCGATTTTCCAAACAAAACTGATTATCTATTCTCAGTTCTCCAATACCAGATTGGGGGAGGAAGTTGGTTCTGACACTAATTACCTAAAGTCACAGCAAACCCTATATTTTAAGTGCTCAGTCAAGCAAGACTGCCATATCTTCACCTTCCAGCCCCATGTGGGATTCCAGGCAACTGGCATTTCCTCCATGCTGACTAAAACATAGTGATTCCCGAGACCCCCTCAGTTTCGGTAATTTGGTAGAATGACTCACAACTCAGGAAACAACTATACTTCCAGTTTCAACTTAGAGACAAACAAACGGAAAACAGGACAGGGCAAAGAGCTTCTGGCTGCCTTCTGCACACCACCATCCCAGCACACTGGTGTATTCATCAACTCAAAAGTTCCACTAAGCTTATTTTCTGACTTTTATTGAGGTTTCCTAATATAGGAGTGATTGCTTAAATCATTGACCATTGGTGACTGAATTCAGTCTCCAACCTCTCTCTCTCCGCAGAGGTTGGAGCTGGATTTGAAAGTTCTAACCCTCTAATAACATGGTTGGGTTTTCTAGTGCCAACCGCCATCTTGAATCATTGTGAGTCTCTCCACCTGCCCCACCTCCTAATAAGTCCTTTCCTCAGCATAAACTCAGCTATGCTTGGAAATATCAAAATGTACTCTTGATGCTCAGGAAATACTATCAGTTTTATGAGGTTTGTGCCAGGAATTGGGACAGTGACCAAAAACATTTTTAATATTCATAGACCTTAGTGTATCTTACCAGGAGGCAAATGATGAAAGTTTACCCCAGTACTGATGATACAAAATTTGATAAGTTGATTACAATGGTGTCAGTTTTAACATCCACTGATTTTGTACTCCAGCATATTCGGTGCATTTGTTAGCTGGCATTCTAGTGTACGGAAGTTTTGCCTAATTGATTGAGTGATTGATTTTTATTTAATGTTTGGGATCTATTATTATCTTCACTTATTCTAGTGCTCAAATTATGTCAGATTTGCTCACTCCTGTGTCATTCTGATACAAACTTACTATTTTTTTGTGTGTGTTTCTCTTTTTCTGGCTTATCACAGTGTTTATGAGGCTTGTCTTCTACTTTCCCTGTCTTGACCCTAGGCTCATTCTTGTGTCCAAGGAGCTCTGGTTCTTTTAGTGAAGTGAATGGGAGTTAGAAACCAAGGTGGCAGCACTAGATGTGCTTATGGCTTCTAGTTTGTGCTGGTTGCAGCAGACTGAACTAGGAAAAAATGTATAAATATACATTCACACCTGTATTTTATTTATTTCAATGTTTACTATATTAAAAATAATGGATTCATACTTATACCTCTAATTTCAGTCCAATATCTCAGGACTCATATTTTTCTTCTTCTTTTCTCTATTTGGTATTTTCTTCTCCACAAATGAAAAACCAGCATTCCTTATGTGATGTACATTTAGTACTCTTGTTCTCCAACCAAATTCCTAGCTCTTTATTCTGTAGGTTCTGGTATCGTTCCCTGAATTCTGTAAAACTTCTCTTAGCACATCTATCTCATGTGGTGATAAATTCCTTCAGTTTTAGTTTATCCAAAATGCCTTTTATTTTGCCTGTATTTCTTTTCATTGCATATACATTTCTCAGTTGATAGTAGTTTTCTTTCAACGCTTTAAAAAGAGATTGTGAGTGCCAGTGGCTTACAGCTGTAATGCTAGCTGCTTGAGAGACTGCAATTAGGAGGATGGTGGTTTGAGGCCAGCCTGGGTAAATAGTTCATGAGGCCCAATCTCCAAAAAACCACAGCAAAATGAACTGGAGGTGGGCTCCAGTACCAGAGTGCCTATTTTACAAGTACAAACCCCAGTACCACCAAAAAAAAAGAAAAAAAAAAGTTTATTATTTTGTTGTTGTTGTTTGTTTTCACCAGAGTTCAGCTATCTTTTTCAGCATGCAGGTTTTACCATGTGTGTTGTTTTTATACTAGGGGAATAAGTTTAGCGTTTTCATCAGCTTTGGGAAATATTGATTATATATCTTTAAATTTTCTTTGGCTTCATTCTTTTTAGGACTTCAGTTATGTAATGTATATAACTTTATATACATTATGTAATGTATGTAACTTTCTTTAACAACTTGATATTGTCTAAGAAAACACCAACACTGTTCACTTTCTCTGTTTTTCACTCTTGGTCATTCTGAATAGGAAATTTCTGTCTTTATACTCACTGATCCTTTTATCTGCAGTTTCTAGCCTGTTGGTATACCCATCAGTGGACTCTTCATTTGCCATTTCACTATTTTAATAGTTTTTCCTTTCTTTACAGAGATTCTCATCTGTTTGTTATTACTACATTTTCCTTTAAGTCCTTGTATACATTTATAATAGCTGTTTGAAAGTTCTTTTCTATTAATTACAACAGTTTGGGTCACATTCTGCTGACTGCTCTTTCTTTTCACTATGGGTTGTGTATTCCTGGTTTTTTTTGCATGTGCACTAATTTTTGACTGTTTGCTACCCAGCACTTGGATTGTATTCTTCTACTTTAAAATAGGAATGAGATTTGTTGTGTAGGCAGTAAAATTACTGTTAGATCTTTTGACCCTGTCAAGCTTAGGTTTACTATTTGATAGGGTGAATGGATTCTAGTTCCGAATTTAGTTTTAGGAAGTATCCTGACTATATGATATAGTCCTAACTCTTGAGAGTGGCCTTTCCCTGGGTCTACTGAATGTCTCAGGTACTTAGTGGACTCTTCTTGGCTCAGCTGGAATTCCATTGTCTGCATGCACTTCCCTAATTGTGTTACCAGACAGCTTTCAGTCTTGTGCAGATAATTTTGGCTAGTCCTCTAGGAACCAAAGTATACAGCCACTCAGTCTTCTGCAGCCCTTGCTTACTATTATACACACACACACACACACACACACACACACACACACCCATAGCCACTCTACTTTGCTTTTCAAATTCTAGCCACTTCAGAAGTTTGGAATCCTTGCAATCTTTTTGGTTGCTCCCTTTGCGTAGCACTTGACTTTTCAGGTGGAAAGCCAGAGTGTTGAAAGGTAGCCCTATGTCCTTTCCTCTGCACTGTCTGTGGCTTTCTCTAGAGTTGTGACTGTCTTCAGTAGAAGGGCAAGTCCAGTACCAGTTACTTTGTTATGGCAAGTGGATATCCAGAGCTTGTGTTTTTTCATGCTGTTGTGTTCTCATATACAGTAAAAGGAATAATCACAATAACAAGTGTCCCATCATTGCTTTGTTTTTTCCTGTGTCTAGAGGGATGAGAAGTCCTCTGTACATGTTGCCTTTGTACTGTTAAGTGTTAACGTTGAAATGCCAGGAATTTGGAACTACACTTAAAGTGAATCTGAGTGGCATATAGTCCCACCCACTTCAAAGATGAGTGAAGTGTCAGAACTGCTGTTGGTTTAAATAGAACAATTGACACCAAAAAGTTGTACTAATTTCCATCTGTTAAACTATGCTGTTTTGATTAATAGTTGTGTTAAATCCTCTATATAAATGGTTTTGTAACTATAATATTCATTAACAAAATAATTTCAGAAGGTACATTTCAGTCATATTTTGATTAGTAGTTTATAAAATAACTCACTATTTATGAATCATTTTTCACCTTTTTAATTTATCAATGTCTGTACCCTTTCTACTTTCCTTAGATAACTTGCAGTCTAAAGAGAAAATATGTAAATATCTAAAGATAAAATAAGGAGTGTTTACTAGAAACTTTGACCTAAGGCCTTCTGTGTGGTTCAATTAACATGACCTTGAGCATGTTTACAGAAAAGCAAAAATGCAATAGTGTTTATAATAGAAAATATTTATACCAAATTTGTAACTTTTGTTTTGAAATTATCATTAAAGCCAAGTATGGGCCTCTCAGGGGAAAGGTGACCTCATTTCTGACCCCATTTGATGAAATGTGGTATAATCACCTGCTTCATTCACAACTTCGGCTTTCCATGACTTTAGACTAATTTAAAGAAAACATAGAAATGACCTTCAAAACATGAGGATTTTCCAGTGTGGCTATTCCATATTCTGTGAAGGGAATTCCAAATGCAGAGTTTTTGGAGCAGCAATCCTATTATTAGGTTGAGCATGTAAGTTTCCAAGGCTATTGATTTGAAGGGAATAACGTTCCTAATGTTTGTGTTTTGCATGTTTGTTTCCATTCTAACCTTACCTCTTGTTATTTGTATTTTATTTTATTTTTTTGCTATGGTTTCACCCCAGAACAAAATTTGCTGTACATTCCAGTAAGATAGGAATAATCTCATCTGATAATGATGGTATTATTTGCTAATTAATTCCCTCATTTATTAAAAACACTCAGTATTGGGAAAACAGCAACAACAAGAAAAAATTCACAAAATTTTTAGCATAATTATAGATCTTCCTAAAGTTTAATCGAAGAGTCCCTTCCTTCCTTCCTTCCCTCCCTCCCTCCCTCTCTCCTTCCCTCTCTTTTTCACTTCCTCCTTTCTTTCCTTGGCAGAACTGGAATTTGAATTCACATCCTTGTGTCAAGTGCTCTACCATTTGAGCCATGACACCAACCCTTTTTGCTTTAGTATGCTTTTTTTTCAGATAAGGTCTAGCACTTTTGCCTGGGAAGCTTTGGATGGAGATCGTCCTACTTCTCTGCTTACGTAGTATCTGAGATTACAGGCATAACCCATCACGCCTGTTCCAGAACTTTCCTTTCTGTAATCCACATTTAGAACTGTGTTGTACCTTTCAAAAATCCTTTGTAATTCTTCAATGTGAATAATGTGCTTTGTAGAGAGGGGAAAGATTCAAAAGATTAAGGAATTGTATTCAAAATGAGTCTATGAATCTTTTTTATGCATATAAAATGAATTTCCTAGGAATAGCTGACATCGAAGGGCAGAATGCTGAGGGAATACAGAGCAACCATTACAAAGGAAGTCAGGTCCTATGCTTGTTTGAAAAAAGGTGGTTTTTGAGGTGTAGGTTTTTAGAAAAGAGCTTAGAGCAGAGATGTTTGTTTTGTGAATGGCACAGTAAAATCAGGCAGTGAAATAGACAGGAGCAGGTTATTGTGTCATAAAAATGACAGCTGCCACATTTTCCTGAATTGTGAGACTATCTAAAGTGGTGAGTAGTTTGAATGTGCTTTATTTTCAAACGTTTGTTCAAGTCTGGTTGGGAGTGTGTGTGTGTGTTTCTTTGTTTCTCATAAACCAGCTGCTAAGAAAAACTTAAATTGTACTTACATCATTTGATGCCTTTCACATTGATAAAATTGCTACTTAATATAATAAGGTTAGTCTAAGGTTAGAATTCTCTAATAAATTAGAAAAATCAAATCAGTCTTTGTACAGGTGAGTCATTAACTTGAATTTCTTTTTCCTTACTAGGATCCTCGGTTCAATGCAGAAGTTGACCAAATTACAGGCTACAAGACACAAAGTATTCTTTGTATGCCAATTAAGAATCACAGAGAAGAGGTAAGCCAATTTGTCATTTTATAAAAGGTCATTTGGAAATATTTTCTTTTTGAAATTTTTTTTTTGTTTTCTACATATATGAAATAGAACTATAGTAATGAGTTAGCATTTAAGTTAGTATATGAAGTTCTTAACTTCTGCTTGATATATTTAATTTAGACTGTAGTTACAGAGTTGAATCCTGATAGAGGCTTTACTATGACTTAGGAACTAATTTTATACATGTCATCACCCACCTCCCTCCTTCTCCTGAGTGTCTTACCTTAGATATGTAAGTATGGTTGCTATTAGACTAAATTTATTTCCTAAATGGTCATCCAGCATCCAGCTGCAGTAGTCATCAGTAGATTTCTTTGGATTCACAATAACATTTAGAAAGGGTAGAAATTGTGGCCACTTCCAATTATATTCATTTAGATGTGAAATTATAACAAGCAAGTGAAAATACTTTTGTCTGTGTTTTACCAAACTAGAAGCTTTGGGTTCTGTTAGGATGAAATTTCCTCTTCATTTTATGCTTATTTAAAAAAAGAGGTTAATAAATTATCAATTAAACTGAATGTTTGAATCACACATTCTCTACTGTGAATGCACAACTGACTGCAAATTCTAAAAGATTACCAATTGTATTAGGTTTTACAGGTAAACAGAGTCTATAGAGTGTGTATAGATATATCAGAAGGGATTTTTTTGTGAGAAATTGGCTCACATAATTAGCAGCCAAGAGGCCCTGTGATTTTCTGTTTTTAAGCTGAAGAACCAGAAAGTGGCTAGTGTAATTCACTCTGAGTCCTTAGGCCTGAGAACCTGGGGGAGCTGCTGGTATAAGCCCCAGGGTCCAAATACTTAAGAACCTTGAAATCTGATGTTTGGAAGCAGGGGAAGATGGACATCCCAGCTCCAGAAGAAAGGGCAAATTTATTCTTCAGCTTTCTTGTTCTGTGGGGTCCTATATGGATTGAATAATGTTTACCCACATTGGTGAAGGAGGATCTTCTTCACTGGTCTATGGATTCAAATGTTATTTCTTCCTGAAACACACTCACAGACACACCCAGAAGTAAGATTTCACCAGCTCTTTTGGTGTCCCTGGACCCAGGCAAGTTGACACCTGAAAAGAACTATTAACAACAATTCGATCAGAATGTCCTTATAGATTCTAGATGCTGATATATTTATAAAGCTCCCCAAGTAATTGTAAAGTATAGCCAGGGCTGAGAATCACTACTTTGGTGAAAGCAAATTGACTGAAAGAGCCCCAAATTTGTAGTTCTTAACTGTAATTGCATGCCAGAGTCACCCTGGGAGCATTTAAAAATTCTAACACCTGGTTTTCACATTACCTTAGAGTCTCTGGTATTGGAACCCAGGTATCAGTATTTCTTAAACCTCTCAAGTAATTATAGTACATGACCACGGCTGAAAACCATTTCTAATTATATTAGAAATGCAGACGGCCCCTAGTTTTCAATGGTTCCACTTAACATTTTCTTAACTTGATGTAGGTGTGACAGCAATACACATTCAATAGGAACTGTACTGTGAATTTTGAAGTTTGATTTTTTGCTGGGCTAGTGATACACAGCAGGATGCTCTTATGATGCTGGAAGGTAGCAGCCAGCTTCAGTTACAGTGCACTGTGTGCTGAACTAAGATGTTTGGTAGATTTGTGTATTCAAATGCACTTTCATCCTAGAATGTTGTCAATTTATGATGGGTTTATGGGGACATGACCCCATTGTACAGAAAGGAGCATCCTTAATTTATATTCAAATCCTCACATCTTTTGTTGTTCTTCCATCAATTCCATTGATTTTTTTTTTTTTTTCACTACAGTGTTTCTCATATCAATTCCTTTCTTTTCATTCCTGCTCCCTGCAGCATAATTCTGATCTTGGAGCAGTGCTTGAGCTTTTTTAATATTCTTGTAAGGAGTTTCAAGTAAGTGTTTAATTTCCCTTCAATCCAGCCTGCATTTCCCTCCCTGGGAATTTTCCTAAAACACTGCTTTCTAAGTCAGTACTGCTAAAGGTTTCACATGCATAGGAATTACCAGAGATCTTGGCCAAATGGAAACTCTGATTTCAGCAGGTCTAGGTGGAACCTGAGATCCTTTTTTATGGAATCCCAAGTTGATGGGTTTATGGACGACAGTTTGATCACAGGTCCTAAGACAGTTACTTCTCAGTGACCTGAAATAAGTTCTTAGTACCTGGTGTTGCCATGTAGCTTCTTAGGAGGTTAACTCCAATGGTCATTACTAAAATTACTTGTATCTATGACATGAATATGAGATTAACTAACTGAGTGTGTGATGAATATATGAAATTCAGGCCATGCATGGAGATGATGACAGTGACGTTATATTAATCAGTTTGAGAGATAACAAAGAAAAAAAATGTGTCCCTTGTAATGTTTGGGATGTCATTATACTAAAAAATAATTTGTTGTTTATCTAAACTGAAGTTTACTAAAATTTTATCTGGCAACCTAGTTATTAAGCATACCTGCAAATACTGTGTATGTGAATGGAAAAATGAAACCTGTTGAAACTCTTCCAGGAATGGGGGAGGTGGAATAAAGGAGAATGATAGAGGGGGTGAATTCAATTGTGATATATTGTAAAAACTTTTGTAAATGTCACAATGTATCAGTACAACAATAATTTTAAAAAGAGAGAGCTTTTCCAAAACACAACTTTTTCGACATCTTGTTGACACTCCTTCCCATTCTCTATTCCTGTTTTTTTTCCCAGATTTGTATGACACAGTTCATAATTGTTTCCTGTGAGAATTATTTCTCTAGAGGAAAGGAATGAAGAGAAAGAGAAGAATAGACATATTCTCCACATGGCTGTTGTAGCATAAAAAAGTAACTTGGCTGACCAAGATCCAAGGCCACTCACAAAATACAATATATGACTTCCAGAATTATCTTTAAATTTATAGTTACATAAACAAAGTCCTGGTTTTGTTTGCCTTTGTGTGCACACACCACTCCTCCTGCTCTCATGAAATTTTTGAAATAGAAATTTAGAGTCCCAATGAAGCTTTGGGGAGTAATCCTAAAGATTGTTTGCTCTGGGTTTGAATCCCGACTTACCATTTCCCTGATGACCAACAAGGATGGAATTGATTAATATCTTTCAGTCCATTTTGCTCCTGTGCAGAATAGGGTGAAAAAAAGGACTCATATCAAGGGATTTTGGAAGATTACCCATTCCAACTATTTACCAAAGAACCTAAGAATCACTGTGGTAATCGAATTACTGTTTATTAATAGTTTATTAAATTCCCTGGTACCTTTTAGTGACAACAGTTTTTCAAGGCATAGGGATGAACTCTAGAAAACTGTGACTGGACTAGATGCATATTAAATGCTAAAGTCTGGACTACAGAATAGGTCAGAAAAATCAGGAAGATTTTTTTAAGGTTCACTAAAATGCTAAGCTCTTTTTTTTCCCTCTTCTTATGAAATATGTTAACTAATTAAAAAATTTTAGGAGTTCTTTTTCGTTAATTTGATACTCTTAAGTGTAATAGAGAGGGTGATGCTATTTTAGAAGCAGTGGCCATCGCTATTTTTGAACTTCTCTGATAGTATACTCTGAAAAAAATAAAACAGGGTAGGTTTTTGTAATTTTCCACTCTCCTTACTCCTTTCTAAGAGACTGGGCAAAATGAAAATGAAAACAAAACAAGGGAAGCTTGAAGAGGCTAAAATAATGTATTTTGGAAATGTCAAAGAGCTACTGGCTAGAGGAAATGAATAAAGACGAAAAGAAAAATCAATCAAGGGAGAGTAGAGAGCTTTCCAGGCTGTATTAGAGAGTGGTTTGAGAGTATGGAGTAGGGCTTTGGAAATAATTGCCTTATGTATAGGAAACAGTTAACATGTGTGATATTTATTGAGCAAATTTTGTAAGTATCTAGCAGATACTAATTTATTTAATCTTCGTAACAACCATAAGAGGTAGTCATTCTCTTGTTCCTACTTAACAGATGAGGAAATTGAGACATGCAACACTTAGGGAACGTGCCCAAAGTCACATAGCTAAAAACTGACAAAGCTGACATTCAGACCCAGGCCATTGAACTATAAGGTCATATATATGGAAGACAACTTCTTAGAATTCTGCTGAGGGTTATGACTATAGTCCACTTGCCTCCCATTTAAATTACTATTGTTTTTCTTGGAGAAAGAGGGGTGGGAGGTACATTGATGTGTTAATGTGGCCACAACTGAGCTGTTTTCTGATGGTTCTTCAATGTTAGTGAGAGAGAGAGAGAAGGGAGCACAGTCACATTCTCTATCTAATGCCTTAAGAGGAATCCATAAGGAAATTTTTACCAGGGACAAAAAAGTGACAGGACCATGTTTCTTAGTAACCTAAGACAGTGTGCTCCAGAGAAGAACCATGATATGTGCATGAAGCACAGTGTAAAACAAATTAACAGCAAGTATATGGATTTTAGGGCTGCAGTGAAGTTTCTTTCAGATTTAATTCTAGATTTTTTTCAGGCCTAGGCACTTGGACCAGTTTTTATTTCAGTCACATGCATTAGTTACTTCTATAACCAGGCAGGAGTCTTTCTTTGTTTGGTAAAGAAGTATAGCAAAACTCAATTCTTACCCTCTAGCTCAGATGGAAGACAGCCCTCCCCTGACATACTGCTTTTTATGATACGGTGGAGATACATGTTCTTTATTTACAGGGATTGACCTAAGATATTAACTCTTACTAAGAGCCCTATTTGTTACTAAGGGCCAAGTGATGTTTTTCTGTCTAGATATTTAGGGAGGAGTGAGTAGGGGCAGAAGGCAGGACATTATCATGCAAGCTCTGAAAATTTCTTACTGATCTAAATTGCAGATTATATTTAGTAATATCTTTCAGGCCAGGCTGAAACATCATGGCTGAACATTAGCTCCAATTATTAAGTAGAAATCCAATTTGGAATCAAAGCTATCTTCTCTTCTCATTTTTATCTTATCATCTT